AATCACATCACACTTACACACACACACACACACACATACAAATAAATAAATATATAAATGTGGTGATTTTAGTGACAGCACAGTGAAGGAACTATCAGAAAAAGAGTGGGCTTTGTAGCAGCGACACCAACATCACCTAAGATCTGAGTTCTGCAAGAGGTTCATGCTATAAAATTCCAATCCTTCCAGCATCAGATCCCAAAACACCTGGAACCCTCCGTTACAGATTCATCCTCTCTGTAGATGCTCTTATGCAACCCTCTTGGCAGGAGTGATAGTTTAAATATCAGCTCATTCCTTATTCTCTGTAGAAATCCTCTTCGTACACTCCTCCTTTGCAGGAGTACATTTTAAATAATAGGATGAATTTTCACATAACAGAAGGAAATCCCCAGTAGCATGAAGAAAACAGACTCCGGAGGAGACAACTGAAAGGCGTGGAGATAGACAAGACAATGTGGTGGGACAAATTCTTGAGTCAATTAGCAGAAAATGTCAGCTGTGGTGCCTGAATAGTGGCAACACCAGTCAAGACCTGTGTGATGCAGATTAGTAAGCACAGCCCTTTGTAGACTTACAAAAGGCAGATAACTTGGTCTCTGGACCCCAGTCTTCTAATGTAATAGAATAAACATAATCACTACCTCAGAACTTTTTCAAGCTCTTAATGAGATTTTCTCTGTTTTTATTTTTTTAGTTAATCAATTTGTGGAAAATGAGTCGACAGGATCCCATCTTAAAGTACCAACGTCCTCAGTTTTGTATTTTTTAAAAATTACTTCTAGATATGGAGGTATAGTGTGAGGAGCAGACAGACAGGAAGGTAGAAGAGCAGAGGCATGTCCTGCCTTTGGAACACTCTGCTGAGATTCTTTCCTTCGCAGAACCCTGGGCTGACTTTCCATGTCAGCACCTTCTGCCCAGGCTCCATTTGAAGAATGTTCCTCTTGAGATCCTCCTCACTCCCAAACAGTTGTATTGTGCTACCTCTCTACTTGAAAGGCTCAGTGTGCCCAAGGAAATGACATAACATTTATTTAATATGGGCAGGCTGGTAAAGAACAGTGGTTAGGAAACATCCTTTCCGACAGGTGTGGTGGCTCACACCGTAATCCCAGCACTCTGGGAGGCTGAGGTGGGAGACTGCTTGAGCTCAGAGTTTGAGACCAGCCTGAGCAAGAGCGAGACACCCATCTCTACTATAAATAGAAGAAATTAGCCAAACAACTAAAAATAGAAAACTATCCGGCTCGGTGGCATGTGCCTGTAGTCCCAGCTCTTGGGGTGAGCAGGAGGATCGCTTGAGCCAGGAATTTGAGGGTGCTGTGAGCTAGGCTGACGCCACGGCACTCTAGCCGGGTAACAGAGTGAGACTCTGTCTCAAAAAAAGTAAATAATAAAAATAAAATTAAATAAATAAATAAAATAGAACATCCTTTCCTTCAAAGTAATAGTCTTAAGAGTATCTTGTAGATTAAGAGTCTGCTTCCAATATTTAACTCATGGATAATTTTAATAGAAGCGTGTCAGGATGGATAACGGGGACAACCAGGACATAGGAAGGCTGGTCAGGGTCTAGGTTTATTTTATTTATTTATTTTTATTTTTTATTTGGCATATTATGGGGTACAGATTTAAGTTCAATAAATGTCCATTTCCCCCAGGGTCTAGTTTTGAAACTAGAACTCTGCAGGTATTGCTTTTCACATCATATAGAGAATGTTTTTCTGTCTACTGCAGAGTGAGAGGGTAAGAAATCTCTTTTACTTTTAAATTTATATTCTATACTAGGAAAAAATATCAAGCAGCAGACCTTAAATATTCTTTTAAATTAAAAGGCAAAAATACATATATATTTATAAGCTTATCACAAATAGCTAATTTTACATATATAGACTATCCCAGTGTCTTGGTCACAAGCATATTTATTAAATACAAAGGAAGGGCTTTCCTGTCATGTATGGATACGTTCGGTTTGCCACCTAGCCATAGAGGCACTCATCATGCATTCGACACACGTTTATAGAACACCTGCTCCGTCGCCAGCCACTGCCTAGGGGAGGGCTACGCATGGGGATTTTCCCCCCCCTATTATGGGTTAAGACACCCTCTACTGCCACACTTATTCACACCTAAGCAGGATTTCTAGACCTTTCTTTAACGTCTCTAACCAGACCTATCTCTTCTTAAACAAACCTACTGCCTCTCTACCTTCATTCCTATTAATGTCAGATTAAAAAATTACTAACACAGCAGTAAAGAACCTAATCTCACTAAAACTTGTTTCCATATGAAGTAAGGCCTCCTTTCCAATCCAGTTAATCTGTTACATATTAAACCAAACAACACAAAAAAATCACTATACTATCCAAATGGAAGTAGTTCCACAGTGCAAATTATTGCAATTTGGAAGGATCAACTTTACATACAGTAAAAAACACAATATTATAAGGATCAACAATAACAAAGTAAAAATTAATAGAAAGAGTGTCTCCATTCAGAACATCTGTGAACAACTGAAAGAGTACTAGAAAATGGTGAACAACTTTCTTAACTATCCTTCTATTGATAAGAAGCATTTAAAAGATTAATTTTATAAAAACTCCAATTTTATGTGCCTGTTGAAACAGAATACAGTTTGTTTTCCTATTTAATGAAGTGATAAGCTGCTTCAACCTAGCATAAAAATACATTATTAACAAAGTAAAGTAGTTTAGGTGTTTTTCGTCTGTTGCCAAATTTCTCTACTCTCAGCTCCTAACTTTCTACAAAGAAACATGAAAAGGAATCTTTGAAATGCATTGCAAATATGTAAACACCACCTTTAGTGTCATTGTGCTCCTTGCAGCTTTTAATCCTAGCATCTACCTACCAAAAAAAGATCTGGTTGTTTTCTCCTAAACAGCAGATTAACCTATTCGTTATGACTAAAATAAAAGAAAAAAATACTCATAGTGTCTCAGGGTTGGCCGAGAAATGTGTCCGTCTTGGCTGTGCTTGCTGCACTTATGTGTTGTCATCGTGGAAAAATTAAAAAACCAAAAAAATCAAGACAAAAGGAATATAAAACATTAAATCCAATCATCACGGACAATTAATGGTCAAAGAGAAAAGAGTTGTAAATTAACAACTTAAAATGGACCACACAAAGAATGGATTGGAAAAGGAGAAACATAAACTAAGAATGCAATTTATTCTCTGAAACTACTGAAGTTTTTTCAATGAGCAGGGATTCTAAGAATATTTCATGTATCGGAAATGTTACTTTCAGTTCTCATTAACAAACATATCACCCCGAAACTGTTTAAGTGAGAAGCAGAAAACTAAAAAATTACTCACTGTCACATGGCGTTTCAGTCCATCTTACCATAAGGTAATATACTGGGCACTCACTGAGTACGTCCTCTGTCCTTTTATACAAGACACAGGAAATGCTGTTTTGTGTATCAAAAAAAAAAGAAAAAAAAAAAAAAAAAAAAAAAAAAAAAAAAAAAAAAAAAAAAAAAAAAAAAAAAAAAAAAAAAAAAAAAAAAAAAAAAAAAGAAAAAAAAAAAAAAAAAAAAAAAAAAAAAAAAAAAAAAAAAAAAAAAAAAAAAAACAAAAGAGAAAAAAAAAAGACGCATAATAGCTAGAAACTTGGCGTTCTTTGGTAAAGTAAAAAAATACCATAAATACTTTACAACTTGTAGGTGAATTTTTGAAAAGTGGTGTGCGCATTATGGATCAAATGTCCGATTTTCTTTTCCGCCACTAGTTGGTGGGTACTTAATGGAAACATTATTGAAACACTAGAAACTAACTAATTAGTGTTCGAGAAGCGAGTGGAGGTAAATAATGTCTATTTGCCCACTCATTCCATCAGTTCTACACAGTGTCTAAAGAAGGACACTCTTTATATATTAAGGATTCCTTTAACTAAGGTTTTGGCCTCGGTTAGGTCTCGAATAACATAGAGGGACTCAGGGTAATTTCAGAATTCCAATCTTTATTCAAGAAAGGTATCTCTTGTTATCCCAAACTGGAATTCTTGGCCCTCAATTGAAGTAATCCCTAATTCTAGGTAGGAGATAGTCAATCACCAGCTGAGGAATTTTCTGGAACATGAATGTGTTATATTTCAAGAGTATATTTTTGTTATTATTTATTTAATTTTATTTCCCTTTTGTTTTGCCGGTCATCTCAGCGTTCAGAATATATTTCAACACGGTAGTTAGAGAGCAAACAGCATGTATTGTATGTTACGTTTTCTGTGATCCTTGATATCAGGCAAAGGACCAAAATAAACATCAGACTATAATAGCATTGTTTCCTCATGCCATTAGACTAAGCGAGGCATGTAGTCACTTGTCATGTTGCCTAAATCAACATGGCATGACGAATCCACAGGGATACTGTCAAGTGAAAATAATGTTTCTTAGCTAGGAGGCTATTACGTAGGATGCCACAGATACCATTTCCAAGGTAATTTCACTGCTCAAGAGTCTAAGTATAGAAGTGTCGTATGGTAATATATCTACAAAATAGACCTATCTCCTTAATTGCTGCTAAAAGGCTCTTGTCTAGGCCGGGCGCTGGTGGCTCACGCCTGTATCCTGCGTCTGTTGTCGGGGGCGCGGGTGGGATGGAGGCGAGGCGGCGGATTGCTCAAGTTCAGAGTTCTAAAACCAGCCTGGCAGAGCGAGCCCCGTCTCTACTATAAATAGAAAGATTAATTGGCAAATGATAGTTATATAGAGAAAAATTAAGCGGCATGGTTGCGCATGCCTTAGTCCAGCACTCGGCGATCCAGCGCCGTGAGGCTGTGAGGGCGAAGGATCACTCAAGCCAGGGTTTGAGGTGCTGTGGAGCCTAGGCTGACGCACGCGGCTATTCTAGCTGGACGACCCGCGCCCCTCTGTCTCAAAAAAAATAAAAAATAAAAAAGAATAAAAGCTCTGCTCTGACGCTGATAGGGTTATGTGAGTTGATACTCATAAAATTATATGAAACTGTGAAGTTACCTTCTCCTTCTTGTGATAATAAAAATGCACCAGCCACTGGGCAATAAAAGGCCATTATGAGTAGCAGTTAAGCCCAGAGATATCTCAAGGGCACAAGATGGTCTCTGAAAAATACAATAAGTTTGTCACCAATCTATGAAATATTGTGTGTATAAACTTAAAAACATATCGAAATCAAAATTTTGAAAATATGAAATTAGTAACAAATCTCATTCCTGCTGAATTTAGAGCATAATTCAGTAAGCAGACTTTTAGGAGTACTTCAGATTTAAATAAACACAAAATAAATATTTTTTTAACTTCAAAGCTCTATAGAATAGATCTCATTTGGAATGCTTTAAGAATCTCATATATTCTAAATGTATTATAACTTATTTGAAATCCTGGCACTTAGATTTAAGAAAAATTTTCTCACCTGTGAGGGGAGCTGATTACTAGTCTGTAATGTTGATGATTTTGCCTAGAAATATAAATGAAAGTGATTTAGCCTTGACAAAATGAAAAAAAAAACAAAAACAGTAATTTTTTTATTTCCTATCTTGCTTTTTAAAAAAATACAGAAATGTTAGTCTATTTTCTATTTTTCTGCTAACTATGCTTTGATTATCCTAAAACTCATACTGATCAAAGGACAAGTTCCCTCAAATTGTGAGCCAAACAAATACCTTGGATGCTTTATATCTTATTGTTCAAATGATATAAAATTATCAAAATATCAAATCAATCTAAACTCTTGTTTTATAGTCTTATTAAATTACCTATTCAACTTTTCCTTTTTTTTTTTATTTTTTTTTCCATCTCAGTGGTCCTAGATGGTAACATTTCTTAATTAATTCCTTAGTTTCCATACAAACTACCAATTTACAAACACTGTTGAAAACTGTAGTCTTGATTACTAATCAAAATAAAAAGACTGTAAACAGTATCCAAAGATCTAGAAATTCATGACAAATTATAAAGTTATACAGCTATGAGAAATATACTGCTAGGGTTGTAGGTTTTTAAATAAGAAGTAGCATAAATTAAGCAGAACATTTTTGGATTAATTTAGGAAATTTAGATTCCAATTTGGCTCATTCCAAAGACAAGTTTCCTTAGGGTTGTTATTAGAAACTTATTACTCTAGTTTCTCCATTTATTATAACTTTAGAGAAATGGTATGAACATTAGTAAAGATAATTCATTCATTCATTCAATAAATGTTTACTGAGCATCTTAAATCTCTGCCCTAATGAAGTTTACACTCTAATGAAGTTACATAAAAAATAACAAATAAAGCAATAAAATATACGGTATACTGGGTGGTGATAAATGCTATAAAGATAAAACAAGGAAGGGAGATGGGACATGTAAGAGGAGGGGAGGATTGCAAACAATTATTAAATAGAATGGTCAGGGAAGGCTTAAAATTGTGGCTGACTGCAAGAATAGCCTTCTGTACAGAGGGACTAAGAAGTTCAAAGACCCAGAGTGGGAGGGAGCCCACTGGCAAGTTCAAGGAACAGCTGGGAGGCCAGTGTGCTGAAGCAGAGTGAGTGAGAACAGAAGGAAAATGGGGAAGAGCAGGCTTTTATATTTCTTTGCTATGGGTTGCATGATTTCAAAGAGACTAATATGACTATAGCTTACAGGTAAAACTAAATTAGTTGTCACTGGATGTTGCATACAGACCATGAAGGTGCTAAATGATAAATTACAGTTCTAGCAGACTCAAGCTGAACAGGCCAGGTGCTGAAATGCTTTGTAGACAGTAATAATCTTCAACCAAGAAATTTGCCCTATGGCACTTCTCCAGACTAAATGGAATTAAGGGTAGATTTACAAAACTGAGCCCTCAGTATCCAATGACTTATCCAAGGTCACATTAGTCAGTGTGGTTTACATTGGAATTCCAGGTGACCAAACTCCAATGTGACAGACACAACTACTCCTCATTAAAGTAGCAACTAACAAATGCTAGGGTTGAATCAGAACTATTAAATGCAACTCCAAGTGGATTTTTTTCTAAGGAATAAATAGTCTGGGATGGCAAATGAAGATTCCTCTGCTGGGCACAGTGGCTCACGCCTGTAATCCTAGCACTCTGGGAGGCTGAGGTGGGTGGATCGCTCAAGGTCAGGAGTTCCAAAACCAGCCTGAGCAAGAGTGAGACCCCCCATCTCTATTAAAAATAGAAAGAAATTAATTGACCAACTAAAAATATATATACAAAATATTAGCCAGGCATGGGGGTGCATGCCTATAATCTCAGCTACTTGGGAGGCTGAGGCAGGAGGATTGCTTGAGCACAGGAGATTGAAGTTGCTGTAAGCTAGGCTGATGCCATGCACTCTAGCCTAGGCAACAGAGTGAGACTGTCTCAAAAGAAAAAATAAATAAATAAATAAATAAATATATATATATGTATACACATACACACACATACCTCAAGCACCTTCCTGCAGTAGAAAATGTATTACATGAGAAATCAGGAGACTTTACTTACAGACCTTACTCTGCCACTAATTAATGTATCTTCTCAGTATCTTTGCATCTTATTCATTAAATAAGGATATTGAACTAAGTTTCCCTCAGTTCTATAATCTACTATTCTATCCATTCATTTCTTTTATGAGTCATCCAGTGAATTATGCAAATTTTAAGGAAGAAAGTCCTTCCTTAAAGGACTTTCGTCAAAACATTTTTTAAAAAGTTTTATACGAGAAAACAGTGGGGCCGCCGGGCACAGTGGCTCACGCCTGTAATCCTAGCACTCTGGGAGGTGCCTTGTCAGAGGGTTAATACCCTTTAGCTCTTACAGGGTTCAAAACATAGTGTAGGTAAAAGTATAACTACATTCTTCTCTGGCTTTAGTTTTGATCCTAGAACTAATTTACACTAAAAGATTAGTAACTTAATTTATTAACTCTACCAGCAAAAATGCTGGTAGAAAGAATTCAAGATAGAAAACAATGCTTACTACAAAAGAATGACTCTTCAATGCTGGACTGAGAGTCATTAGTGACGGTCTCTTTATTAGTTCCTCAAACTGCACTGTTTAGCAGCAATTATTCTTCTAATACCAAGCACCTAACTCTTACTTCCAGCATGGCTACTGCTAATTTTACACTCTGAAAATTTTGAATTGTAAATATTTTAAGTGATCTTTAGCTTCTGGGTCAGTCTTTTCTTAAACAATATTTTCAAAACTAGGTCCTTGGCCAGGCGTGGTGGCTCACGTCTGTAATCCTAGCACTCTGGGAGGCCGAGGCGGGCAGATTGCTCAAGGTCACGAGTTTGAAACCAGCCTGAGCAAGAGCAAGACCCCATCTCTACTATAAATAGAAAGAAATTAATTGGCCAACTAATATATATAGAAAAAATTAGCCGGGCCTGGTGGCACATGCCTGTAGTCCCAGCTACTTGGGAGGCTGAGGCAGCAGAATTGCTTGAGCCCAGGAGTTTGAGGTTGCTGTGTGCTAGGCTGATGCCACGGCACTCACTCTAGCCTGGGCAACAAAGTGAGACTCTATCTCAAAAAAAAAACAAAAAAAAACCTAGGTCCTTTTTATTTTCTACAAAAATCACTAAAATACATGGATTTGTGTAAACGTGACCAACACAGGTTATGCACTGCTTTACAGGATTGACAGGCAAAGACGACCACGAGACAAATCTGGAAGCCCACCTGCGAAGCAGTTAGTGTTTCCAGTTTATGAAGCCTCTGAAGGACACTCTGCATGTCCTCCTGCAGTCGCAGGAGCACAAGGGCAATCTGCTCGTTGAGGCTCCCTCTGGAGCCTCTGTCTGAGCCCCAGCGCTCCCCGTCGCCTCCGCTGCCCACTTGCCGGCCCTTGGTTCCTTCGCTCACATGTTGCATCCTGTGCCCTATATTAAAAGAGCAAAATAAGTTAGTTTTAAATAATTCTTATAAAAGTAGAAACGGTGTGCTTTCTTTATTTTCCTCTGTTATTTTTTGGGATCTAAATCTCCAAAGTAGAGTAGAACCAATCAGGAAGTACACAAAAAATTCTTGGGATCAAAGAAATATATATATAAACTTCTATTTATATTGATAGACTCTTAAATTTTTTTGCTAAAGTTTTATAATATCTATAATATACTGGTACATGACTATATGTATATAATTCATAATATGCATACTCAGGATGCATGCTAAAAATTCTTTACTAATAAGGTAATACAATTGAAAATTTTTGAATTTTTAAATTAGCTATGTTTTCCTTCCTGGTTGGTTTTGGTTTCATTACATTGCAGGTCTTCCAAAAGGTGTTTTTAATATGTTTTTCTAATTCTAAATTGCATGTTCTTAACAGATATTTAAATCTCAGTACTATTAGGATTTTGTTATATATCCATCCATTATTTTTTCTATGTATATTTACAAAATTGGTATTACTCCTTATACATGATTTTGTGTCCCACTTTTAAAATCACTTTATAAACATTTATCTTCACTCAACCATTCTCCACTTTGGGATAGTTAGGATGACTCCAAATTTTTGCTGTTACGAATAATATTGCAATGAATGTCTTTGAAAATTAATTCTTATCCAAACTTCCCCTGATTTCTTTAGGACAGATTCCAAGGAGAATTACTGGATCAACGGATAACAACTGTCAAGGTTCTTTTTTTTTGAGACAGAATCTTACTCTGTTGCCCTGAGTAGAGTGCCGTGGTATCAGCCTAGCTCACAGCAACCTCTAACTCCTGGGCTCAAGCCTCAGCCTCCCCAAGTAGCTGAAACTACAGGCGTGTGCCACCATGCCCTGCTAATTTTTTCTATATATTTTTAGCTGTCCAAGTAATTTCTTTCTATTTCTAGTAGAGACGGGATGTCACTCTTGCTCAGGCTGGTCTTGAACTCCTGAGCTCAAGGGATCCTCCTGCCTTAGCCTCCCAGAGTGCAGGGATTACAGGCATGAGCCACGGTGCCTGGCCCATCTGTAAATATTTCTTATGTCCCCAATTTTCCCCTTATTTATACAATATCCTTTTTACAGGCCTTGTCATTTCTGCTTTGATCCTCTAAGAGTATGTGTTCTTCTTCTTTGAATGAGAAATATTGGTTATCTAAAATGTTCTTCTGTTTTGGGGGACATATGTTCTTCCGAAACAGACCTTCTATTTGCATATGAAGCTCCTTATCCACTCTCTACTTCCGTTTTACTTTTTCCTTGGCTGTAAACTTTCTGCACACTTCCTAGGTCTGTTTTTGTCAGCTTATTTATCTGTGACACTGGCAGCTCTATCAATATACTTAAATATAAAATATATTTAAGTATATTGTGTTTTGTGCCACATTTACATTGTCCTAGTGGCACATCCCTGAGAAGCTGAGCTTAAGGCTTGATATTAATGCATGCTGTTTAAAAATTGGTTTCTTCTGACTGGGACTCAGAGCCCCGGTCAGAAGAGCCTAATTTCTTTTTCATTTATACATTTATCCCCAACATCACCATTCTTCATGTTCATCTTTGTATTGTTACAAGTTCTTTTATCTCTATTACTTGATTTGTCAGCTTCAAATGATCTCTTTTGAATGGGGAAATGTGAAAAAGATAAAAAATTCAGATTTTTATCTATATAGGGAAAAAACACAGCAGCACAGTTGGAGAAATTGGTCATTGCTCTTGGGGGTTACAGAACATAAATTTGGCTACCTCAAAAAGTTGCATAAAAGATTTAGAAATAGAAATGTTGGCCTGGCCAGGCGCGGTGGCTCAAGCCTGTAATCCTAGCTCTCTGGGAGGCCGAGGCGGGTGGATTGCTCGACGTCAGGAGTTCGAAACCAGCCTGAGCAAGAGTGAGACTCCATCTCTACTATAAATAGAAAGAAATTAATTGGTCAACTAATATATATAGAAAAAATTAGCCGGGCATGGTGGCGCATGCCTGTAGTCCCAGCTACTTAGGAGGCTGAGGCAGCAGGATTGCTTGAGCCCAGGAGTTTGAGGTTGCTGTGAGCTAGGCTGATGCCACGGCACTCACTCTAGCCTAGGCAACAAAGCGAGACTCTGTCTCAAAAAAAAAAAAAGAAAGAAATGTTGGCCTGGCATGGTGGCTCACACCTGTAATCCTAGCACTTTGGGAAGCTGAGGCAGGAGGATCACTTGAGGCCAGGAGTTTGAGACCAGCCTAGGCAACATAGCAAGACCTGGTCTCTACAAAAAAAATTTTTTTTAATTAGTCAGGTGTGGTTGGTTGGGGAGGGCCACTTCGGGAGGTCGAGGCAGGAGAATTGCTTGAGCCCAGAAGTCTGAAGTTGCAGTGAGCTATGATGACATCATTGCACTCTCACCCAGCAAATAGAACAAGACCCTGCCCGCCTCCCCAAAAAAACTTTTCCCCAGTCTTTTCAGGGAACACACTACTGTGCCTGTGGAGTGAAGGGAGAGATCTAGACATAAAGAAAAATTTTCCAATTAGTTTATAAAGACAGTAAGAACAAAAAAGATAAGACACACCTCTCCCCCTTCTGACGTTAGAGAATTCCTCACTTTCTCCGCCTCGTTTCTCTCGGTGAGGTGCTCCACTGTTGTTCCTGCCATCTTCTCCTCCGTGCTTCACTTCACCTTTTCCTTCCACTGCTACCACCGGCATATTCCCAATGTTGCCTTTTCCAGGAGGTACTTGAACATCTTCAGGAAAACCAGAATTTTCCATGGGCTGACTGGGATCACTTCCCAAGTAACAATGAAATGGTCCATTGTTTGATGTATAGCTGTCTAAAGACTAGAAATTTAAAATGACACTTAGTTAAAAGCTATAAACAAATTACACACCACGTTATAACAGACACTGGAGACTTATGAGGGGAGAGGGTGGGAAGGGGCAGAGATGAAAAATCACCTATTGGGTACATTGTACACTATTCGGGTGACGGGGACATCAAAACCCAGACTTCACTATGCAATATATACATGTAACAGAATTCAACTTGTGCTCCCTAAATCTACTGAAATAAAAAAAAAATTATAGACCACAAATTTTCATGGTAATAAGAGAAATACTGTTTCTCTAAAATATTCTTTCATGGTATTATTGGAAATATTTTTTCTCTAAAAAATTTCTTTAATTCATATTCTGTTTCCTATATACAGAGAAGAAATGGAGCAGGAATGATTCATCCATGAGCAAAGAACTGAGAAGCTGGGGCAGTGGAATGTTCTCATGAGTCAGTCATTCATTCAGGAAACATTTAAATCCCTATACTTAGTTACTATGCTAAACTCCAGGCATACTATGAAGAAAGAGAATCCCTGTCTGCAAGAACTTTATAGTTTTGGTAAAGGAATCATAGAAGATTACTACAACATAGTTTGACAAGTCTGTTATGAAAAAGATGTACAAAGGATGCTACAGGAGCTCACAAGAGGAGTGTCAAGCCCATCCTGGGGTTGAGCGAAGACTTGGTCAGGACAGGCTTCCTGGAAGAAATGATATGAACTAAGAATTGAAGAACAAATGAGTATGAGCCAAGTCAAAGGTATAATCATAATGACAGTAGGTACCAATAAAGCAGCAGTGGGACAAGGGATGATTTGAGAACTTTTAGGATTACAGAATCAACAGGACTTGAAGACAGACTGTGGGGAGTAAGGGAAAGGAAAGACTCCGGGTACTGGATGGCTTGGTGCTACTCATCAAGCTAAGAAATACTGAGGATGAGGAGGTTTCAGGGGAACACAAACAGATAATGGTTCAGTTATAGATAAGTAAAAACTGAGTCCCTGGGCAAGATGTCTAGGAGGGCAGTTGGAATTCGGAAGAGAGATATATATTGGCGTTATTGCTTTGAGAGACATCAGCATGTGAGTGATGGTTGAAACCAAGGAAGTAGTAACTAGAGTTATTATATATCTGGAAAACACAAAATTTAAGGGGCCAAAAGAGGAAGAAAAACTCAAAGAGGAAGCCTACAAAGGGCCTAAGAAAAGAGAGAAAGAAACCCTTGAAAGAGTGGCGTAATGGAAGCCAAAGGAATATTTTCAAGGAGATAGTTAGCTATATTGTTTAATGACATTCAAGTAAGTTACAAAGGCATATTGGCACATGTGGCCAAATCTGACTGACATAAATAAATATAATAAGTGAACACAACCAACAAAAAGCCTGGTCATGATAAAGAGGGAGATAAGACAATGGTTAGATGGTATCACAAGGTTATGGGAGCATTATTTTTTTAAGATAGAAGGGATATGAATATGTGTATAGCTTGGGAAGAAAGAACCCAGAAGAGAGACAATGGCTGAAAACAGTGTAGAAAGGGTATAAAAGACGAAGGTCCCCAAGGAAATGAGAGGAAATCTGACACAAAGCAAAGTAGAAAAATCAGCTTTAAATGGGAAGAACTTGTCATCCACCAAGGAGGGAGGAGAGGTGGCAAGGACTAAATAATTGAGTTAGTAAGTTAAAGAAGTAAGGCATGAAGTTGGCCTGTAATTCTACACTCTGGGAGGCCGAGGAGGGAGGACTGCTTAAGCTCAGGAGTTTGAGAACAGCCTGAGCAAGAGCGAGACCCGTATCTACAAAAAATAGAAAAATCAGCCAGGAGTGGTGGACATGCCTATAATCCCAACTACTCAAGAGACTGAAGCAGGAGGATCACTTGAGCCCAAGAGTTTGAGATTGCTGTGAGCTATGATGACGCCACTTATACCCTACCTGGGGCAACAGAGCAAGACCATCTCAAAAAAAATGAAGCCGTATAGCGACTATTATAGATTTTAAAAATGCTTTTATAAGTGGAAATCAATCAGAAAAAGGAAATGTTCAAATTAGAACTGGGAAATAATAAATGTGATATTAGTGGCCAGAAAAAGAACTTGAAAGGCACTTTGTGTTTCAAGGACTCCAAAACTGATAATAGAGATTACTTAAATCTATTTTTGAGAGAACCCACCGAAGACATTTGTGGATGATAACCTATAATTAACCTGGACTGGTGAGGGTGGTGTGAGGTAGGGCTGCATCTTATCTAAGAGGATTTCCTTCAGGAAGGGACATCTGAGTTAGGGACATCAAGAAGGACATCAAAAGTTCTCAGTGAATGGGGTAGAAGTACACTCCAGGCCAAATGAATGCAAAGATGCTAGCACTGGGGGAGAGAAAGCGGAGGGACTGACACACTGGAGGACAGAGAGAAGGCCAAGGTGGGTGGTGAGCGAAGGCCAAACACCAGAGGAGTTGACGGAGGCCAGCGAGGTAAACAGGAGCCAGATCAGACACAGCCCCAGGAAGGATGTTAGCCCATTAACTGATTCAGAGAGAAAATTGGAGCAAACCTAGAATTTCACAGCCAGATGTTTACTGAGACTAATCCCTATTTAGTCCCTTTCACCAATCTTCCCCAAATAAATCTTTTTTAAAAAGAGAAAATAAAAGGGAATCTCGGTTTGTATCCTTTTCATTTTTCACTAATTTCAGCTCATTCTCAGTTTGACCTCCTTATCATTATTCTTCCCATCTATGCTACTCATTTGTGTTTGACCTTAGTTAAAAGATATGTTATTCTGTAATCCTAGCACTCTGGGAGGCTGAGGCGGGAGGATCCCTCAAGGTCAGGAGTTCAAAACCAGCCTGAGCAAGAGCGAGACCCTGTCTCTACTAAAAATATAAAGAAATCAACTGCCCAACTAAAAATATATAGAAAAAATTAGCCGGGCATAGTGGTGCATACCGATACATTATTCATGTGTTTTTAAAATCTGAGAAAACTAAGAGGTAAATTTAATTGGATTATGAAATCAGAAAAAAGAGAAAAACAGAGAAAAGTTACAATTCTCATTTTAGGGAAGCGAAAAATAAATGATTTTCTATAAGACACACTGAACTGTATTAGAACAGGGGTAGGGTATGCTTAACTGACACATTCAAGAGGCCCATATAGATTTAAAAAAAATACTTTTATAAGTGGAAATCAATGAGAAAAGGAAATTGTTCAAATCACAACTGGCAAACAATAAATGTGACAGCAATGGCCCAGAAAAAGAACCTGAAAAGTACATTGAGTTTCAGGGAGAGGATGTAAAAACACTACACAGAAATGCAGCTGTCAAAACAACCCTCATCATTATCAGAAAAGTTTAAGAGAAAAAAAAATTCGTGGACTTTTCATAATTTTTTTCCAATTTTCTCTTCCAATAATGAATCTTAATTAACTGAAATTTGAAAATTATTTCCATTAACAATTCCAGTCCAATGGATTATAGTCAATGTGAAGAACAGATTGTTGAAAATTATTCAAGTTTTTTGAACATTAATTAATGTTTCAAACATAGGGACTAGCTTACAGTTTTTCCTCTGAATACCCATCCCACCTATCCTAGAATATTTATAAATATATTAACACATATTATAAATTATAATATTTAATTGTTCTTAATTTTCGTGGCATAGTCCAGAATTTTATATACTTTTTCATTCACAAAACATAATTAAAAATACAAATGTTTTGGCCGGGCATGGTGGCTCACGCCTGTAATCCTAGCACTCTGGGAGGCCGAGATAGGCGGATTGCTCAAGGTCAGGAGTTCAAAACCAGCCTGAGCGAGTCCCCATCTCTACTAAAAAAATAGAAAGAAATGAATTGACCAACTAAAAATATATATACAAAAAAAAATTAGCCGAGCATGGTGGCGCATGCCTGTAGTCCCAGCTACTTGGGAGGCTAAAACAGTAGGATCCCTTGAGCCCAAGAGATTGAGGTTGCTGTGAGCTAGGCTGATGCCATGGCACTCACTCTAGCCTTGGCAACAAAGCAAGACTCTGTCTCAAAAAAAAAAAAAAAAAAAAAATACAAATGTTTAAACATTTTAGAGGTATGTTTTCAAAGTGAAAAACAGCATGTACATTTGCTATCAACAGAAGTAACACACTAAATTCTGATATATGATTGTGAAAATTACCAATCAGAAAATGTCATTTTTACCTCTTCTTGTCCAAACTGTTCCATAGAATCACAGTAAACTTCACTATCTGAATCACTTGTCAAATGCTGAATTCCTGTAATATCTTCAACATGATCATCATTTATATCTAAATATGAACAAATGTCCAGGTAGTACAATTATACTCTAATAGAAGAAAAACATATTTATTCCATTTAAACAATTTATTACCGCTATATTATTTTCATACTTAGAGACAAATTTGATTTACTGAGCCACACTTTTTTTAACTTCATGAAACTTTAATTAGTTGATAATTTTTATGAAAAGATTACAAAGTATTTTCTAATTGGATTCTATGAAGATACTATCTAGATGAAATCTTTCAAAACCTAATAACCCTATAAGAGAAAACTAACTACCAAGTAGGAGGCCTAAATGTAGAATGCAACTATGCAAGTTTGGCTGTTACATTAAGAAATGATATTTTTCGTGTCCATCAATCCAAGAATGGATTAATAAAATGTGGTATATGTATACCATGGAGTACTATTCAGCTCTAAGAAACAATAGTGACATAGCACATCTTATATTTTCCTGGTTAGAGCTGGAACCCATACTATTAAGTGAAGTTTCCCAAGAATGGAAAAACAAGCACCACATATACTCACCAGCAAATTGGTATTAACTGAATAACACCTAAGTGGTCACATAGGCACTACAGTAATAGGGTATTGGGCAGGTGGGAGGGGGGAGGGGGGCGGGTATATACATACATAATGAGTGAGATGTGCACCATCTGGGGGATGTTCTTGTTGGGGCTTCAACTTTTTGGGGGACGGGGGGAAATGGGCATTTATTGAAACCTTAAAATCTGTACCCCCATAATATGCCGAAATAAAAAAAAAAAAAAGAAATGATATTTTTCCAATGTACAACTACTATATATCACTAAAAATTTTTAAATGAAAATAAATAAAACAAAAAACAAATGATGTTTCTTAGTTTCTCAACACAACCCCAGCAATGTTAATAATTCACCATATACACACTATGGGATCACCCCTAGAGCCCTAGGATATAAAGACTATAATTTACCTTGCTGATTGGAGAACAAAGGCATCATAAAACCACAGTTTAAAAGAAACATCAGGAATAAAAAATAAATAAATAATAATAAATAAAAATTCCAAAAGTTTTAATTTAAAATGTCATATAATGACTCAATAAAAATATAAAAGCCCTGGCCCTGACACACTATCTTTCCAAGCTATAAACCCTTATATAATATTAGTAAACCCTAAGATATTACCAAATAAGAGATTTTAAAATTCTAAACTACTCCTAAATATCCTACAATTATTAAAAGAATATTTTATTCATGGGAAAGAGGCTGGACAAAGAAGTATTTTGAGACCATACCTTGATGAATACAGACAGCAGTTTTTCCAGTTTGCTCCAAGTGTTGATCTACAGGTTTTACTTCTTCGGTGCTTGTGCCATTCAGGGAAGAACTGGCATGAATGTCATTCTGTATATCCTGAACAAAGCCATCTTTATCATAGCCATTAGTCACAATGATTTCCAAATTCTTATTATCTGCTGATTTCTTCATCATTTTCTTATCTTTTAGGAGACAATGGAGAGATTCATAAAAGTTCACAGGAGGTCAACTTTTGCACACTATGTTCTAATATCCAGTAGCCATTTCTCCAATCTACCATAATCCCTTTGAAGAATTTCCTACGTGGATTAGAGAGATGGGCTGCTCCTTGAAAAGGGGTTTAATATATGCTGAGCTTACAAAAACTGCTAGCTTTAAAACTGCTTTAGTTCTCTGGAAATCTTCTATAATCCCTTTTGAAAAATAATCTCTAAAGGTCTTTACACTCTCTTAGGCATAGGCAAATTGCTCTATGACATCTAGCAGCTCAAAGGGGTCCAAGTAGCTGATAAAAAGATCCTCAAATCCTTTGGGAGTGCAATAGTTAAAAATAAAAAAATAAGCCCTTAGAGAAGGTATTACTCATCAACCTTACTGGAAAGGGAAGGCAAAATTAAGTTGTGTGGTTTGTTTGCATCTTTCTGTCTCCTCTTTCTAAAACAGTCTTCCCATGAATCATTGATACTCTTACTAACAAACAAGACCCCTAATGCACTATACCTCTTGATTCCAATGTTCCTTCCTCATCAAAACATATACCTGTATCCTATTCTCTGGATTACCTTCTACTTTTGATAAGATATTGAGACTTTTCCTTGTCTCCTATCCTTGGTAACATATGCATATTGATATTAGAAACAATATCTTAAAGAAATATATGTCTAAGGCAGCATATTTGCAGGAGTGGCCTATTCTTGCCAGCCTTTAATTAACACCAATTCCATTTATGCATCAGGCTGGCTGGCCCTATATTCTCTAGTACAGACTTTTGGTCCACAGCCATTCTGGGTAAAGGGTCAACAGCCCACATCCCAACACAATACCACATCAGCCCAAATGTCTTCATACCCTTTTATCTTATTTAATGTAAAATTATTAACCCATTATCCAACAATTACCATTAACACTTTGTTCTGCTCCTTTTACTTCTTGGGCCTCTTCTTCCTCAGACTCAGCTCCACTGTCACTGCTTTCAGCTTTACCGTTAACAGTTTTGGCATTTGGAGTAGAAGTCAGAACATTACCAAGATCTGAAACATGAAATTACCACTTAATTGCTAATGTGATAATATATGATAATGCCATAATTTCAAAAATATACTGTAATTAACAAATAACTAATAAAATCATTTTAAATGTTAGAATTTTACACATAACAATATTTTTTTCTTTGACTATAAATATATATATATTACATAGACAAATCTCTCCAACTATCAGTTTACAATAAAAATGATAAAGCTATCTTAGATTTTTTCTTAACAAGGCAGAGGATACATTTTTTTTTTTTTTTTTTTTTGAGACAGAGTCTTGCTCTATTGCCCAGGCTGAAGGGCTGTGGTGTCAGCCTAGCTCACAGCAACCTCAAACTTAAGTGACCCTCCTGGGCTCAAGTGATCCTTCTTCCTCAGCCTCTCGAGTAGCTGGGACTACAGTCATGAGGCACAAAGCCTGGCTAATTTTTCTATTTGTAGTAAGAGACGGAGTGTTGCTCTTGCTCAGGGCTCAGGCTGGTCTCAAACTCCTAGGCTCGGGGGGAAATGGGCATTTATTGAAACCTTAAAATCTGTACCCCCATAATATGCCGAAAACAAAACAAAACAAAAAAAAAACTCCTAGGCTCAAGAGATCCTTCTGCCTCAGCCTCCCAGAGATTATAGGTGTGAGCCACTGTGCCTGGCCAGGATAAATTATTTTTAAGTTAACATCAATCAAAATAGTAAAGTTAGAGATGAATGCTCTTCTTCATACATGTAAATGAAGAGATATGTCCTATATGCTAGCATGCTGAAAACATAAATATAATATTTTTGGTCCTACCAACAATCTCATCAATATTACAGTTGGACTCCATTTAAATTTTATTCTTTTCTTATCTTTAGGGCTTCGGGTACATGACTTATATCATTATGTCTTTACAATATTTAAGTTTTTTCTTAAAGTATCAGTTAATGTGATCAATCACTTACAGAAGCAAATTGTCCTGCTAGCCAACGTTACACCCTGAAGGTAGATACATAGAGTGTTTCAACTTTAATGTGCGTATGAATCACCTGAGATCTACTTAAGCTGCAGATTCTGAAAGGTCTAGGGTGATCTAAGATTCTGCACTTCCATAAAGCTCCCGTGTGTTGTCAATGCTGTTGGTTGCCTACTGGACCATGTTTTGAGAACACAGATTAGAAGATGATATTTTTGAGATAGCAATACCCTCCCCAGATGATCTACCAATTCATTGTAATCTCTATCAAAATTCCAGCTGGCTTTATTACAAAAATTGACAAGCAGATTCTAAAATTCATATGAAAATGTGAGGGATCAAGAATAGCCAAAACAATCTTGAAAAAGAACAAAACTGGAAGACTCACACTTTCTAATTTCAAAACTTACTATGGATGTGTATTCCGAAAATGTCCATTTTCAGATGTGAAACTGATACATTTGTTCTATTGGGCCTAAATGGCTACTTTTAACAAGATGCTTCACTTAAAAAAAAAGTCAAGTCCACAAACTGCCTTGCAATTTGGCAATATCTTACAAAATTACAAACACCCATCAAAAACTTCTAATTCCATTTCTATTTTTTAAATGAGATTTAAGTCAGCATCTATTATTTCTTATAGATATACTTTCACATATATAAAATTTCTCAGGAGCATTTTTTGATGAGCAAAAGAGGAAATAATCTAAATGTCCATCAGAATGGTTCAGGTTAAATTTATAGTGCAGGTCCACAATCCTTTACTTAACAACCCTTGGACCCAGATCTATTTTGAAATCTTAAGTTCTGTTTCGCAAGGGTCATATGGTACATATGCCATTTGGTATATTATGTAACATCTCCAACAGAGCCTAAGGCAGCTCTCACTACAAAAAGAAAATAAGATTTTTGCAGCAAAATATATGAATAGTTACACTAAATAGGATGATGATTCAAAATAGCCTCATGTCATTTCAGGTTAGGTTTTATTCCTTAATTAGCTCATGTCAGACAGGTTTTGCTGCCAAATGAATTACCAAAAAATTCTGGTTTTCAAAGCTTTTGGGATGTTTAAGTTATAGCTAAGTAACTGTGGACCTGTGCCTTTTATTACCATTATTCACTCTTCTTTTTGTTTTGTAATTAGTTGTTTAAATAACTGCCTCTGGCCAGTAGACTGGACACTGCAAAAGCAGGTCCAGTGTATTCCCCTCTGCATCCTAACAACATGCTTGACAAAGAGAAAACATTTAATTTTTTTCTTCTGAATTGAGTTAATGTGAACTGTAAGAACTATTTGTTACTATTTGACTCCTCTAAGCAAATCAGATACAGAATGGTGTGGTACAGAGTCAAGCCCTGTAAGCAGTCACTATCAATTGCACATGGTTTATAACCATGCCAGGCACAAACTGCAAGGCCATATTACAGTACAGGAAGATTACTGTCCTAAAACGTGGCAATTTCTGTTAATTATTAAAAGATGCCTTGTAAATAGGGATTCCTTGGGTAGAAAAAAAAAAAAAAAAAGATGCCAGGCCAATTTTTATTTAAAGTGCATACAATTTTTATTTAAATTTACTCTTGTGGTGTCATTTCACTCTGCTTTCTAAAAAAAATTTAAGGAACAAATGTTTATAGTTAATACCAGCAAAGCCTGCATTTTATTCAACTCCAACTAATATGCAAAACATAACTGTTTTAATCCTTCACTGAGAACGTGAATACAATGCTCCAAAAAAGTAAAAACCAAGCTGATGTCTTGTTTTAGTTTGCTATGTTATAGTTAAACCATACTGTAAACATATCTATTTTAAAATTAGCTAGAAAATCATTTAATCCATGGTAATGTTAATATAATTCCTAAAGCAAAATAGAAAATATAATCTATTAAAATAAAACCATGAATTCTGTTATAATTTTGTATATACTAAGTGAATCACCTGGCATGTTTTATTAATAATAACATACACTTAATGTTTAAAATTTATAGGGTTTATAGTATTTTAGAACTTCATACAATGTGTTTACTTAGAATGAAAACTCTTGGCTAATAAGATTATAAATTCTATAAACTTGTGTAGAATTCTTCTGACATGTAAGTTTGGATAAAATTTTTACATATATTTCATTATTCCTACCTTCTAAATATTTAGAGATTTTCTCCAGTCGGACTAGCATGCGAAAGTAAAAAATAAAATTAGACACATAAATATTAATGCATGCATAATATATCAGTTGCTGAATTGAAAAATAGGTAAAATAGTCCAACCTGAGGTTACATCAGAACTCCTGCCACTCTTTTTGTCCTCTACAATTTCATAAAATGGACCTATGACATGCAGCAATTCTTCAACTTTCTCAGTCATTGGCATAGTCTCAAGAATCTGTAATCAAAAGCAACAAATATTGTGAAATCACAAAGTTAATTTGATCTACACTAGTATCAAATAATCTATTTCCAATTTATTGATAATTTTGAGATTTGAGGGTCATTAATAGACTCTCTAAAGGATCTACATTAATTACATACTATTGTATATACACTCCTACAAAAGTTTCCAATATAATAAAGATCCAAAGGTATTCTTATTTTGAAGACTATTTTACATAAGCTTCATATAAAATGTTACACAATAATTTATAAATTTTATTTATTGGCCGGGCGTGGTGGCCAATAGTAGAGATGGGGTCTTTCTCTTACTCAGGCTAGTCTCGAACTCCTGACCTCAAGCAATCCTCCCGTCTCACCTCCCACAGTGCTAGGATTATAGGTGTGAGCTACCATGCCTGGGTAATAATCTATAAACTGTACATTAAAATCTAGGGACTTTTTATTGTATAATCATCAAATTTAAAATGCATAATAAATTAACTAAAAAGGCATCCAACTAATAACTATCAATTGGTGACTGATCAAAGAAATTAAAGTACTTCTATATATGGATTATTATGGAGATATTAAAAAGAATAAAACTAGCTCTGTATGTGCTGATCAGAAAAGTATCTATAATATAAATATCTAGTATAAATATAGTATAAAATATCTATAATATTTCTTTCTTTTTTCTTTTTTTATTTTAAGACAGGGTCTCACTGTCACCCAGGCTGGAGTGCAATGACATAATCATAGTTCACTGTAGCCTTGAATTCCTGAGCTCAAACAATCCTCCTGCCCCAGCCTCTTGAGTAGGTGGGTCTAGAGGCATTAACCACCATGCCAGGCTAATTTTTTTATTTTTTGTAGAGGTGAGGTCTCAATATGTTTCCCAGGCTGGTCTTGAAATCCTGGCCTGAAGTGATCCTCTTATAGGTGTGAGCCATCGTGTCTGTCCTTACAATTTTTCTTTATAGGAAAAAAAGCTAGTTGCTACACAGCATGTTTAATATGATGCTGGTATTGGTTTTCTTTCTTTTCTTTTCTTTTCTTTTTTTTTTTTTTTTTAAGACAGAGTCTCGCTTGTTGACCAGGCTAGTGTGAGTGCCGTGGCGTCAGCCTAGCTCACAGCAACCTCAAACTCCTGGGCTCAAGCAATCCTTCTGCCTCAGCCTCCCGAGTAGCTGGGACTACAGGCATGCACCACCATGTCCGGCTAAGTTTTATATATACATTAGTTGGTCAATTAATTTCTTTCTCTTTATAGTAGAGACGGGGTCTTGCTCTTGCTCAGGCTGGTTTCGAACTCCTGACCTCAAGCAATCCGCCCGCCTCAGCCTCCTAGAGTGCTAGGATTACAGGCGTGAGCCACCGCGCCCGGCTTTTCTTTTCTTAATAATTGGAGATATGTATATATATATGGATAGATAGATCTCTTTTCTGAATCAACCTACAAAATACAATTAAAAGTAATTACCACTAAACAGTGCAAATGGAAGGAATGGGGAAGACTCAATTTTCATTTTATACTTCTTTTTTTTTTTTTTTTATGTAACCAAGATGTTTGTATATACTTCTTTTAATGTTTATTTTTTAACATTTACATATGCTGTATTACTTTTATTATAATGAACAAATTTATTACTTTTAAGCAAATAAAATCCTTTATCATTCTTGTATGTTTTTTCGGCTTATATATAGATTTTTAATTAAAATTTTACTTTTTTCTTTTTTACCTGTGCAGGTAGTCTGTTTGTTTGTTTGTTTATTTTTATGTTTTCATGTACTTATTTTTGGTAGGGTAGTCTGTTTTGATACAAGCAGTTTTAAAGATACTCTCCCTGCTTTACTGTTTATTTTCCATGTTCCACAATAGAATGTCAGCTCAATCAAAAAAGGCCTTCATCTTTTTGTTTTTGTTCACTCCTATATTTCTAGTTTCTAGCACATAGAAGCTATTTCATAAGCAACCTAGTTTAAAATTGTAAAATTCTTGTTCAAATAACATGCTTTTATTTATAAAACTGATACAGGATAAATTCTCAGTATCTGTGGTAACCAGCAATTTTGATATGATCCTGAGCTGAGATATGTCCATGAACATTACCACCCACCATGTGTAATGTGTGTGGGAGGAGGTTGTTAAGAGGAATTATACAGAATAAACTGTTCACAATTACTAGTTTTAGTGATTATAATTTAATTCTAGTTTATAGTAATTCTAGTTTAATTCTAGTTTATAGTAAGTTATCTAACAGGAGTGAAAAGAATGCTTTAATCACAAAATTTGTGATTTGTAATATATTTATAATTCGTAATGTATTTGGATTATAATAATCCTGAGAATTAGCTTCACACCGAAAATTGAAACCATAAGGTAATGTTCATTTTGATGTGACCAAAGTCACAGCTTATAATAAATGGCAAACAATTCAAACATAAACCAGAAGGCTTCACACTACCCCACACTGCCATAATACAAAGACCTGACTTAGCAGAATCCAGTAAGCCAATCACATAACCCATCCTGACCCCCAGTCATCACCTCCTTTGATCCTCCTCTTCTGGTTATCTCTCAAAAAAAGTTTATAAAAAATCTCTTTCTCGAATTTGTCCTTAAATAAAGCTACTAGATTCAGTACTTGAGTTTTTCATGCCCCATAAGATAAGGCAATGAATTTTGTTCTCAAAAGTGTCAGAACTAGAGAAAAGAAGTATATGCTAACACTAAGCAAACCGCATATTTATTCTTTCAGTAAGCTAGTAATAGAATTTCAGAAGTCAATATAGTGAGAACACAAGTGATCAAAACAAGACACGCTCAGAATTTAAGTGGTTATTCTCTGAAGAAGAAACTTTAAAAATACACAAACCAAGAAGGATGATCTTAGTCATTCGCAAAATTTCATCCCTGATACCAATGCTAGAATACAAGAAATGGCAAGCACGCACACATACATGAGATGGAGATAGAAAAAAGGACACACAGACAAGCAAATCTCAGTCTAGGTAACCACTACCTACCCTTAGAGAAGGCTCTATATAAAGTTATAAGTTAATCAAGCTAATTCAACATATTGTAACCTATCTAAACAAAGAATGTCTTAACAGAAATATTTGGTAAGCTGCATGGACTCTGGAAGAGTAACATCAAAGCACAATAATTCTTCTAGGTTTATCTGGCACTTTTCCTTGATGAGAGACATCAATCAGTTTAAGATGATGAAAATGTCCTGGAAAGGTGCAGATAAACTCTATTAAAGCAAAGATTAACTTCCTTGGGCTTCTTTTGTCCAAGATGAACACATACGTGAAAGCCATCAAATCCCAATGCTCTACTCTCTGTGCAACAGACAATATTATAATAGTAATCACTAATTTGGCCTCCCAAGTGCTTCTGACCTTTTGAGAAGTGTCCTACATATCAGCCCTAAGTATGCTGATCACTAGAAAAGTCTATCACCCACTGTAAGTTATGAAATTGGAACTCTGGTTTTTCCCTCGATCTGCAAAAGATGGTTACCATGAGTCAATCCTAAAAATAAAAGTCAACCCTCAATACTCAGAGAAAGCTAATGTTCTACACTTGTTGCGCTATGAAGTAGACCCTCAGCCATGGTAACTTTTAGGTTCTATCCTTTACAAAACCCTGCCCTAATCCTCCCTCTATTCCAGTGATTATCCTAGTCTCTTTGAAATCCTGAAATAATTAGTCTGGGGTCATCCTGGGGCATTTCTATTTTTTCACAAGATCCCCTAGTGACACTAGTGTGTACCAAGGGTCAATACACTGATCTCTCTTTAAATTCTATAAACATAATGCACATTATTCAAGTACTATAATAGCTGAATACTCTGGAAATCTCCGTTAGATAGCCTCAAAAATTTAATAAAAAAACAGAATTTTATACTTCCCTCTGATAATGAATAAAAATAAACTTTAAAGAAACATGGATTTTCCCCCCAAACCACACTGCTTACTTTATTCCTCAAAGCTAATATCCTACTAAATTGTGTTAAGAGAATTTTTTACCCTAGCAACTTTTTCAGTGACATTTTACTGGAAAATTTATAAATTATGAAAAGCAATTTTCTATAAATTGTTATCCATTATAATATATAAATTAAATACATAAAGTTTCTGAAACCTTTGAATGCAAAAACATGGAATGAGATTTATACTCTAATGAGTAATGCTAAAGAGCAATAGTACAGTGATCTGTGAACTATATTTTTGTTATTCTTGTGAACTATATTTAAAAACATAATTTAATGACTAATCACTGCTCCAGTTAGTAAATTATTACAGTCAGAAAAAGTCCCACCAGTTAGATAGAAGCTGTGGGGGGGGGGGGAGTCTAAAATTCAATAATAAAATCTATAGGATAATGTACTACCCCACAAGATTATTTAGACACATGCAATTTTATCTACTGATATCCATAAAGCTAACCTCTGAAAATAATTCAAAAGAGTGATCAAATTTCCAGTTTATGGATATTCTAATATTTTTAGATTTACCTCTAAAAATTCACTATAAACTTTATTATATTCACAATATGAAATTAAATTTTAAAGTCTCAATGAAAACAGTGTATTCTTTAAATTAGAGAGGTAGTTATAGAAATCCACAGGCAGTGGAAGCATTTTAAGATAGCTTTGGCCGGGCGAGGTGGCTCACGCCTGTAATCCTAGCACTCTCGGAGGCCGAGGCAGGCGGATTGCTTGAGGTCAGGAGTTCCAAACCAGCCTGAGCAACAGCAAGACCCCGTCTCTACTATAAATAAAAAGAAATTAATTGGCCAACTAATATATATATATAGAAAAAATTAGCCGTGCATGGTGGCACATGCCTGTAGTCCCAGCTACTTGGGAGGCTGAGGCTGAAGGATTGCTTGAGCCCAGGAGTTTGAGGTTGCTGTGAGCTAGGCTGACGCCAAGCAACTCACTCTAGCCTGGGCAACAAAGCAAGACTGTCTCAAAAAAAAAAAAAGAAAAAAAAAAAGATAGTTCAAAGCAGCAGTATCATTTTAATCTTTCTTGGGGAAAAAAGTAGAATACACATTGTTTCATCTCCCTCCCATTTTAAATTGTGGCCAAAAAAAAAAAAAGAAATTAAAAAAAACCATAAACTGTGCCTCTACCATTATTTAATAAAATTAGATAGAAAACAGTGGGTAAGTTTTACTTAATGTGTGAATTCAACTTTATTATTATAGAAGTATGTCCTAAAAATTATAATGATATTTAAGGTAAAACCAAAAAGGTTTTAGATTATCTTTCTTTTTCTGCTTTTAAAAGACTCCTTTGTTATTGTGTTATTTTTTTTTTTCTTTGAGACAGAGTCTCACTCTGTTGCCTGGGCTAGAGTGCCATGGCATCAGCCTAGCTCACAGAAACCTCAAACTCCTGGGCTCAAGCCATCCTACAGCCTCAGCCTTCCGAGTAGCTGGGACTACAGGCATGCGCCACCATGCCCGGCTAATTTTTTCTATATATTTTTAGTTGGCCAATTAATTTGTTTCTATTTTTAGTAGAGACGGGGTCTCGCTGTTGTGCTCTTGCTCAGGCTGGTTTCGAACTCCTGACCTTGAGCAATCAGCCCCACTTGGCCTCCAGAGTGCTAGGATTACAGGTGTGAGCCACCACACCCTGCCTGTTATTATGTTATTGATATAGTTAAGAGCCAAAAGAACTAAACTCTGTCCTCTGTTGCAGATAAAGTCTTACTTAATGAAAATTGTGAAAATATAACAAAGGGCACAACTTTTAGCAGTATAGAAGAGATAAAAAAAAAACTGTTATAAATCTACTAAATAGATATTACTACAGAGATGAATACCATCAAACTATCTGGCAAAAAACTAGTCCTTTTTATATATTTTCTTTATGTTCAAAGATAACTTATTTAAGATTAGCAAATAAAGATTTTACAACTTCTGATCCATGTCCAACATAAAAGTGGTCCTCTATAAAAAGTCCTCTTTAAGATCATCTTTAATTGCTTTTTCCCCATTTTTTCCCTTAGTTTTCTATTCCATTGTAAAGGTAAGATCAATTTTTAAATCTTTGATTTCTTCATAAATCTGTCCCTCAAACCAATACCTTGGATATACTTGAAAGAGCTAGTTAATAAGGAATGAATGCTCTTCTTTGGCAATTAGCAGAGAACTAAAAGCATCCTTATCTTATTCTGCTTCTGAAGGAACTATGCATTCACAGAAAAACGCTTGGTACTAAGAAGTCCAGTGATGGCACTATCTCAATTTATGAGTCAAAACTTGTATGAGCATATTGTTGGACAGTCATGTTGACCATTTCTCCTAAATAAAAAGTTCCAAAGCAGAAATGTTTTCCAGACCATCTAGGTACTTCTCAGACTCCAAAGTAAGGGACACAAATATTTTCAAAGATTTTTATTCCCACACATCCTCCAGAAGCTGACTACAGAGAAAGATGTGGAAAATGAAAAAAATAAACAAACAAAATAAAACATATCACCACACTGTGATATACCTTAACGAAAAAAAGCACTTTAACATGAACAAATAAAGCCCTAATAAATTCAATAATCTAGATTCTATAGTATAACATACTACCATCTTCTTGCTCCTTAAAACAAAGCAGCTAATTTGTCTGATCACAAAAGTAAATTTTTTTATTTTCTTCTATGAATTATGTTTCCTACCTTTTTCATTTCTTCAACATATGCAATCATGGCTTCCTCTTTGGTCATATCACCCAATGAATTCCAAGCATCCCTAGAAATGAAAATATCCAAATAACAACAGAAAGACACCTGATGTTCAATTGCTCAGAATACTATTTATAGTTGATGCTATATAGGGTCATTTATTCAAAACAAGCTCTCCTTAAAGCCATGTTATGTTTCCAAAGGATCCCTTTAAATGTACCACCTTGAAGAAAACTATAACAACAAATAAACTGGAAAATTAAACAGTACTTAAATAAGTACACATCTATATATTAATAAGCTATCTATATATTAATAAGCCACAGAGACTATAGACTATTCACAAATACTTGCTAAGAACTCTTTAAAAGTTTTTACATTATTATAAAGAACAGTAACAGAAATGAACATCTTAGAAGACTATAAATTGTCACAGGCATGTTTAAAATGAACATAAGTTTTGGTTAAAAATTTCCACGAATTAATTTATTTTATTTTAGCTTTTTTTTTTTTTTTTTTTTGAGACAGAGTCTCGCTTTGTTGCCCAGGCTAGAGTGAGTGCCATGGCATCAGCCTAGCTCACAGCAACCTCAAACTCCAGGGCTCAAGCAATCCTGCTGCCTCAGCCTCCCGAGTAGCTGGGACTACAGGCATGCGCCACCATGCCCAGCTAATATTTTCTATATATATTAGCTGGCCAATTAATTTCTTTCTATTTATAGTAGAGATGGGGTCTCACTCTTCCTCAGGCTGGTTTCGAACTCCTGACCTTGAGCAATCCTCCCGCCTCGGCCTCCCAGAGAGTGCTAGGATCACAGACATGAGCCACTGTGCCTGGCCAAGTTTTCATTAATTTAAATACAATTCCAAGGCCGGGCGTGGTGGCTCACCCCTATAATCCTAGCACTTTGGGAGGCCCAGGCGGGGCGGATTGCTCAAGGTCAGGAGTTCGAAACCAGCCTGAGCCCAGCCTGAGCGAGACCCCGTCTCTACCAAAATTAGAAATAAATTAATTGACCAGCTAAAAATATATGTACAAAAAATTAGCCGGGAATGGTGGCACATGCCTGTAGTCCCAGCTACTCGGGAGGCTGAGGCAGTAGGATCGCTGAGCCCCGGAGATTGAGGTTGCTGTGAGCCAGGCTGACGCCACGGCACTCACTCTAGCCTGGGCAACAAAGTGAGACTCTGTCTCAAAATAAATAAATAAATAAATACAATTCCACGGGACAAATTTTTATGGGCAAAAAAAATTTTTTTAAATTAAAAATTTAAAAAACTATTTAAATTAAAGCCCAACTTAAACACTTTAACTAAAAGTGAAAATGGTTTCTTACTTCTAAAAGAATGAAAATGTGAGTGACAGAAAATTTTTAAATCCCTAGATAATAAGAATAGTCCTTTCAAACTTTTGCCTGATGTGAAAACCTCCCGTTTTTTACAGTTTCTGAAAAGGAGTTTAACTCCACCAAGATCAATTCCAGGGGAAAAAAATGTGAAGCAAATAAGTAAATTTTCTTAAAATGGAGAGATTAAATAACATATTGCTATTTCATTTAACCTATTATTTTATGATTATTCATAAAGATCTTAGAGGAAACTACAATATTAAGAAATCTTCAAACAAGCTTATGGCACTTGCAGTTCAGGGTGAAGAAAATGAGCACCAAAATGCTTGGTGTTCATGAACTTGGTTCTATCTGAGCAAAAAACAAAAACAAAAAAAGCATGGCTCAAGGCCAGGCGCGGTGGCTCACGCCTGTAATCCTAACACTCTGGGAGGCTGAGGCAGGCAAATTATTTGAGCTTAGGAGTTCAAGACCAGCCTGGGCAAGAGTGAGACTCCGTCTCTACTAAAAAAATAGAAAGAAATTAGCTGGACAACTAAAAAATATATATATATATGTGTAATATATAAATTAGCCGGGCATGTGGTGCATGCCTGTAGTCCCAGCTACCTGGGAGGCTAAGGCAGGAACATCGCTTGAGCCCAGGAGTTTGAAGTTCCTGTAAGCTAGCCTGAGGCCACCACACTCTAGCCCGGGCAACAGAGTGAGACTCCGGCTCAAAAAAAAAATAAAAATAAAAAAAGTGTGGCTCTTAAAACATGCTTCAGCAATCAGCAATCAGCTGAAGCATGTACTTTGTTCATAAAGTACAATCTAAAACTGACTTTTGTTCAACCCCATTAGGAAGGAAAAAATAGGGGAAAGAAAATAAAAATAGAAAAACAATATAAAAATAAATAAATAAATAAAATTGACTTTTGCCAGACATTTGTAAAGTCTTCAATAGCATGTAAGAATATTAGGCTGGGTGTGGTGGCTCATGCCTGTAATTCCAGCACTTTGGGAGGCTGAAGCAGGAGGACTGCTTGAGGCCAGGAGTTCAAGACTAGCCTGGGCAACATAGTAAAACATGGTCTCTACAAAAAATAAGAAAAATTAGCTGGGCATGGTGGCATACACCTGTAGTCCCAGCTACTTAGGAGTTAGGATCGCTTGAGCCCAGGAATTTGAGGCTGCAGTGCGGCTATGACAACACCACTGCATGTGCATGCCAGCCTGGGCAACAGAACAAAATCGTCTCAAAACATAATAATAATAATAATATCAAATGTTAGTCATAGTCAATTGGGAAAATAGTACAGGTATCTCAATAGTTTATAATTCTTTTAAGGATATTTAAAAATCTAATTTCTATTTGAGTACAGTGGGTCAGAAGTGAAGGCTCATATAAGTTAGTGTGCCAGTACCTGAGTCATAGTTTTAGTTATTTATTATCTTAAAGGCTCAGAGCAAACAATGTCACCTGACAAGCAAACGTCATTATTTTTCTTGGCAAGTAAAAGAGACAGTTAAAGTTTGTTTCTTTTTTCTTTTTTCTTTTTTTTTATTTCAACATATTATGGGGGTACAAATGTTAAGGTTACGTATATTGCCCATGCCCCCCTCCCTAAAGTTTGTTTCTTTAACTTAGTCTGGAAGTTGCTTTTGGATCAAAAAAAAGAAAAACTCCATAAAGGGAAAGATTAACTGGAAAATGCTTTTTATCTTAGATACACCTATCCCTTTTGGTTTTATTATTCTCCTCTCTTCCCTGAGAGTTTCCTATTTGTGTAGAATTTTAAGAGGACCTGGAGGATAAAAACTGTACCCAGTACATATGATACTTTATACACAGAATAATATATAACCACATAAGTGACAGTCATATGAATTATGTCATTAAAAATTAAAATTCTTTCATAGTGCATATATAAAATTACCATTTATATCTTCCAATAGGATCCCAGAATGCAGGCCTTGAAAGTTTACAGGGTCCTTCAGTTGCCTGTTTATAGAAACTATAGAACTTAAGCATCATTTCATTTGTTGGCTGGAACGAACCTATTGGAAACATACATTAAATATACATCACTTAGGGAATACAATTGATAATCTAAGGTTATAAATTAACTTGGCTATACTAATAATGATTTTATATTTCATTAATAGTTCAGATAATAATTTATTTCTACCTTATAGAAACAAAAGTCATGGCTCTGTTGCTTGTTCCTTCAATTTAAAAAACACTCTAAGATTCTCAACTTTAATAACAATGCCTAAGACAGTTCAATAAATAAAATAACAAATGAAAAAACATGCTGTAGGTACAACCAAAATAACTGGCAAATGTCACTTTAAAAACAAATATGTTCAAATGTAGATTAATTTATTACACAACTGTAATAAGGTATTTTTATTCAAAGTTTGTGACAAATCAAAATCAACTAGCATAAATGAAAAAAGTACAGGTATACTCTGCCAAATTTCAATTTCTCAGTAGATAAGGAACTTTGGGCTAAAGCCAAATAGTAGAAAAAGAATTCATCTAAGATAAAAGAGATTTCTCATTTCCTACCTCTGAAGTTTTGAAGACATCGATTTCTTTGAAGTCTTCATATATATTTCTAGCATATCTATTTTTTCATGTTTAAAACTTTCAAACTGTATGAGCAAGTCCTATAAGTTACAGTACTATTAATAATAGTGAAAAATTGGTATGTTAATAATAAATTGGTTTTATAATAAATAGCTAAATAATTATGATATACACATATAACAGGTTATTTACAGTATAGCTATAAAAACTTATGTTGCAGAAAAATATAAATAATGGCATTAGAAGTTTCATGATCTATTATAAAATGAGAAACAAAGCAGTTAAAAACAGCATTTATGATGCACTTTTGCAAAATAAGAATTTATATACATTAAAAGTACAGTAGAAGTATAAATAACAAAATGTTAAAAGATGTTATCTCTGGATAGTAGGTGTATGGATTATTTTATTTACCTTTTGGCTTATTTGTTTTAAATATATTTTAGCATCAGTGTGTATTACTTTTATAACAAAAATAACAAATAAAGTTAAAATTGTAAAAAGATATTTTTAAAAGTTTGTAAATTGCATAATAAACAGATAACATGTAGTAATCAAAAGCTATCAGTTTATAAAAGCTGTGGAAACTACCACACAGACAAGCTGAGACCTGTGGTGTTTCAGGTTTGGCAAGAGTGTATAATTAATTCCAAAATCACAATAATAATTATCTACATACTATATGTACATTTATAAGTATCTATCAGATACTGTGTTTTAATGATGTTGTCCTTTCTACGGCAGAGGGGAAAAAAATGGAGAAACCACAGTTAAAAATGTTTACCTGCCTACCACACCCGTGGCTTAAAGTAATAATTGATTAAAAAATGGTTATCTATTTAAATGACACAAATATAAATTTCAAACTTTAAAAGTTTCATCTCAAAATATGAGGTGAAGTCAACCAAATAAGATTTGAAAGTGTATTGGCTTAGGTGAATGCTATACACATTATGCTAGATTAAAAACAAAAACTGGAAACATTTATTGAATGTATTCTACGTGTAAAGCAGTAGATAAAGTAAGATGTCTGTCCTCAAAGTACTCACCCAGAATATATCTGATATATATGTTTGAAATATTACCTAAGAATTTAAGTTTCTAAAGGCCAAGGTGATACCAAACAGGATGCCATAGGACTCATTATCATCTTTGGCTTTAAATTAAGATTAAGCAATAAGGAGGCCGGGCGCGGTGGCTCACGCCTGTAATCCTAGCTCTCTGGGAGGCTGAGGCGGGCGGATTGCTCGAGGTCGGGAGTTCAAAACCAGCCTGAGCAAGAGCGAGACCCCCTCTCTACTATAAATAGAAAGAAACTAATTGGCCAACTAATATATATAGAAAAAATTAGCCGGGCATGGTGGCGCATGCCTGTAGTCCCAGCTACTTGGGAGGCTGAGACAGAAGGATTGCTTGAGCCCAGGAGTCTGAGGTTGCTGTGAGCTAGGCTGATGCCACGGCACTCACTCTAGCCTAGGCAACAAAGTGAGACTCTGTCTCAAAAAAAAAAAAAAAAAAAAGATTGGGCAATAAGGAATAAAAAGCAAGATCTTCTTCACATAATAGTTCAGAATAGACCAAACGATTTAAAAGTCATATTATAAAAATATCTAATAATTCATTATAACAAACTTCTGCTTCTATTATTATCAATTTAGTTTCAGGGGATAACAGTACACTGGATGTTGTCTAACACAGGTACCATTTGGCAGGGTATCTTAACTTTGCAGTACCTTTCTAAATGTTATGCAAATACAAACTGCTTTTTTTTTTTTTTTGAGACAAGGTCTTGTTCTGTCACCCCGGGCTAGAGTAGAGTTGTGTCATCATAGCTCACAGCAACATCAAACTCCTGGGCTCAAACAATCCTCCAGCCTCAGCCTCCTGAGTAGCTGGGACTATAGCCACATACCACCAGGCCTGCCTAATTTTTTTTTTTTTTTTTGGGAGAGACGGAGTTTCACTCTTGCTCAGGCTCTACAAACTGTATTTTAATTTATATAGGTTTCCTAATAAATGGTATATAATGTCACTAGAGATAGTGGACCAAAGACATGAAATTTAGCTTCACCAATTTTCAAAAAACTATAAAAACGTGTGGTTTAGGAGAAAGGGTGAATGTACTACTTACATAAAACTCAGAATCATGCCTTTCTAAATTGGGCACTTAAAAAATCAATACCTAAATAAGTTCCTATAATATTTCTTTACCTTTTGTTTTTTTTCTTATCTTCAATTCCCAATATGACCTCTACCAATGAAATATTTGAAATTACATAAGAAACAATATTTTGTGCATATTTGTTTTGATAACTTTTTGGAAGCTCCACTTAATGAGTTTTTATTGAAAAACTTATGTTGAATAATTATTACTTAGCCAAATGATGATTAATGAAAACAGAGACCATGACATTAAATATTATAGTAAAATATCAATATTGTAGTCAGTTAGTTTTAATAATACAACTCTGGCATAATGGTACTTGAAACTATTTTTATAAATATGTTAATTGTGAAAAAAATTCATATAATGCAGAAAGATATGGATTGAAAAATTTAAGTCTCCCTCCTTAAGCCTCTCCACTTAGAAGAAAATATTTAAACAATGACCGAAAATCTGTCAACATTGGTCAAAGACATAAAATTGCAAACTCAAAAAGCTCTGCAAACCATAAACAGGATAAATATCACAAAAACCACACCAGGTAGTCAAATTGCTGAAAACCAAGATAAAGACAAAAACCTTGAAAGCAGCCAGAGAAATGACACATTACATACAAGAGAACAATCGAATGACTTTTTTCCCCAGCTGCAAAGAAGGTCCAATATTAGTATAAAAAAAGAGAACATTATACAATGGAATAGCAAAGAAAAAATAGTAAATATATACTTATTTAAAATAAAAAGAAATCATTTTTCAAATGATTATAGTTCTTTCCTTTCTCTCCATATCAAAAGTTTTCAAAAGGCTTAAATAGTAGAGTTTATGAGTATGCAGCACTAGGCATCCCTACCCCTAGATTTTTTTTAAAACACACAAATCTGCAGTCATTAAGTGACACGACTTTTGTTTTCAACAATATAAACTACTTAAAATTGGGATACTATATTGCCTCTGGCTTACAAGATTAGAAGGCAATTATTAATTCATATAGGATACCTCCCCTTCTACTACATCCCTTTGAACACAGAGAAAAGTAGGCTAACAAAGCAAGACTAGAACTAGAAAGAAGGTTAAAGGAGGTAAGATTTAGAAACTGGGGCTTCAAGCCTCTGCCGGGTTTCTTCAGCGGGGGTCGGTGCACGTACCATTTTTCGGCAAACTCTGGATCACCTTCACGGCCGCCTCAAACCTGGTTTCGTGCACGGATCTCGTGTCCGCCATCTCCAGCTGCCGGCCCCGGTCCCCGGGTCTGTCGGCGGGAATCAGGCAGCAGCAGCACCAGCTTTCCCAGGAGCCTGCATGAAACTGGAACATGCAGCGCAGCCGCGATCAACAAGCCCAGCAGGAGGAGGATCAGGAGCGCGGCTGGTCAGTTCCCCTTTGCCCTGCCCTATCCAGGCCACACAGATCTAGGTGGCCCGGCTGCTTCCTCCTCCCCTGGGCGTGACTAAGGCCGAGAACCCGCAACGACAAAAAACAACTCACCGAGAGGAAGAGCATCTCTAGCAGCAGGCAGAGCGGGGCCGGCCGCCGGTGGCCGCGGAGCCGCTCCCCCACCCGCGGGACCCCGGCTGGGCAGCCACACCCCCCATTCCGGCGGAGTCCGTCTGTCAGCCGGCGCCCCCCCGCGGCCCCGCCCCGCAGCCCCGGAGGACCCACCGGCCGCCGCCGCGCAGCAAGCCCCACCCACCGGCCCCGCGGCCGCGGCGATGACGCGCGCGGCCGTCGGCCCAGAGAAGGACCCGGAAAGGGGGGAAAGAAGACGACCTTCCGAGGGGCCACTGCCCCGTATCGGTCCGGGAAGGACCCTGTGCTCCCTTTTGTGCAGACAGGGGAAACCGAGGCCAGAAGGCTCTGTCCCGGCAGGCGGAGCGCGCTGGGGACGAGGGTTGGGTTCTGCGCCGGAGTCTTAAGCACCGCTGGGCAAGAAAGTGACTCCGCGGTCCCCAGCTTCTGCCCTCCCTTAGCTTAAGGCGAGAGGAAGGCAATGGGGCTTAAGCAAAGGGCTTTAGATCCTCCGGGCGCGCACCTTCAGTCCTGCCATTTACGCTCTGTGCCCTAGGGCAAGTCACTTAGCCTCTCCTTTGGAGTGGCAATCGCTATGCCACCCCGAAGGGTAGAGGAAAGGATTAGGGATATCGGATGGAGGTGCTTAGCAGTCCTTGGCCCGCAGGTCTTTCTTTGGCAGCTTTCGCCACTCGAGCCAAGGACGTCCGAGCAGCAACCAAAGGCGAGGGGAGGTCGCCGCTACTAGACCGGGCGGGGGGCACCTTCTCCACCACCACCCCGTCCGTCGAGCCCCGGGGAGCCGGGCACAGCCCCCCTCCGGCTGGATTTAGTACAAGAACGGGCGTGGGGGAGGGGCCGACGAGGAAGCATTATGGATTGTCAGCCTGGAAAGCGGAGCCCTGGGCCTTCACCTTCCTAGCGCAACCCCCAGCGTCCTCAGGCATTTGGGAAGCGCCCCAGGCCCATGGGGGTGGGGGGCAGGAGGTGACATAGGTTGTGACGGTGAAGTCCTGCGGTCTGGAAAGCTCAAAATCGCCTAGTTGGGAAAGTCGTTTTTGTCAGCTCGGGATGGGTCAGGAGGATTACTAACACAAATCTAGGCGCGGACCATAAGTTACTCTTCCCTCTGAGCCGCGGTGCCGGCATTTTACCTTGGTATTGCCGGGCAAGGCCCGTCCGGTAAGGTCCCCGACGCCCGCCCCTCGCCCTGCCCCGCGGCCTTGTGGGAAATGTAGTCCCCCTCCGGGCGCTTCCGGACTCCTCCCCTGGGCGCCCGGCGTTCCTGCCATCTGTTCCGGTTTGGCTACTCAAGCCAGCTGACGCTCCTGCTGTGCGGCGGAAATCCCTCCTTCCTGCTGGGTTGTACTTTGGGCTCCTTATCGAAATACTACATCCGCTTCCAGCAAAAGGCATACTGGGTGGTGTGTCGTTTGAGAGGTATCCCGGTGTGACTGGACTCGGTACCAGAGACCTGAGGTCTCATTTCTTGCCCTTGATGCTTACTCACTTTGATGTCATGTAGGAATGCAGAGTACCTTGCAGGTATTAAAGACACCCAGATACTGAGTGCCTGGTATTTGCCAAGCATGTGACACGTATTCGTAAGGTGTTTACTAATGAGGAAACTGAGACCCACCTTTTCTTACTTGCCCCAGCCAAGAGTCACTCGATCCAAAAAACTCTTACTTTAAGTCATGGACTTTTCCCAGCACACGAAAGGAAGATACTAACAATGTTTCCAATTTATTCAAACTAGGAAGACTATGTGTTTAATGTATATTGCTTCCTCTACTCTTTTCTTGCTTTTTATTAGTTTTCATTTCCAATTCATGCAGACATGCATACTTATAAGAAGATTTTGGATGTTTATTTCTAATCTAGGACTTCATTTTGACAGCTGTTCATTAAGCTTATGCGATAAGCGAACAGTATGTTGATCTTAGATAATGATGAATAAGAATTTCTGCCAGTGATTGCTGTTGAATTTCCATTCACTGGTTGTATGGATTTCCAGTTAAGGGGACTAGTATAAGGATAAAGGAAATTGAGGTTATTGTGGTAAAGGTATTTAAAAAGGATTTTTTTCATATAGCTATGTGGGTTTAGTTGTGGTTACTCTCCTGCTGGAACATATTAATGGATATGATGGATTGAATCAGTTCCCAAGATGTCTTCCAATTGTGTGAACCTGTACTTTTACCTAAAATATGCTATTTCATTAGCACTTTCAGTACAATGCCTAATAGGAAGCATACTTTATCATATATTAATATTTCTGGAGATGTTTTAATTAAAAATTGATCCACTTCTTACACATTATCATAAAAAAGTAATATAATAAATTTGTGGGTTTTAAGAAACGTAAAGGAATAAACATTAAAATAACTAAGAGTGGATTCTTTTTTTTTTTTTTGAGACAGAGTCACTTTTGTTGCCCAGACTAGAGTGCCAGGGTGTCAGCCTAGCTCACAGCAACCTCAAACTCCTGGGCTCAAGCAATCCTTCGTCTCAGCCTCCGGAGTAGCTGGGACTGCAGGCATGCACCACCATGCCCAGCTAATTTTTTCTATATATATATATATTTTTTTTTAGTTGGCCAATTAATCTCTTTTCTATTTTTAGTAGAGATGGGTCTCCGAACTCCAGAGCTCAAAGGATCCGCCTGCCTAGGCCTCCCAGAGTGCTAGGATTATAGGTGTGAGCCACCACACCTGGCCAAAGTGGATTCTTCTAAGATGCTCCTTTACAAACTATTTTTTTTTCTTTCTCCTCTTCTCTTCTCTTCTCTTCTCTTCTCTTCTCTTCTCTTCTCTTCTCTTCTCATTTCTTTTTTTTTTTTTTTTTTTTTTTTTGAGACAGAGTCTCGCTTTTGTTGCCAGGCTAGAGTGAGTGCCGGGCGTCAGCTAGCTCACAGCAACCTCAAACTCCTGGCTCAAGCGATCCTCCTGCCTCAGCCTCCCGAGTAGCTGGGACTACAGGCATGTGCCACCATGCCCGGCTAATTTTTTTATATATATTTTAGTTTCCAATTTAATTTCTTTTCTATTATATAGAGACGGGGTCTCGCTCTCTCAGGATGGTTTCGAACTCCTGAACCTCGGCAATCCGCCCGGCCTCGCGCATCCCAGAGTGCTAGATTCAGCGTGAGCCCACCGCGCGGCTCCCATTCTTCTCATTTTCTTTCTTTTTTGTTTTTTTAGGGACGGAGAATTGCTCTGTTGCCCAGGCTAGAGGGCCATAGTGTCAGCCTACCTCACGGCAACCTCAAATTCCTGGGCTTAAGCGATCCTCCTGCCTCAGCCTCCTGAGTAACTGGGACTATAGGCGCTTGCCACCATGCCCAGCTAATTGTTTGTTTCTATTTTTAGTTGCCCGGAAAAAAAAACAATTTTTCTATTTTTATTAGAAGAGGGTCTCGCTGTTGCTCAACTCCTCCTGACTCAGTAATCCTCTCACTCCCGACCCTTGTATCAGAGTGAGGTATATTACATGAAGTCACCTTGCCCGGCCTATAAACTGTTCTTAAACTCCAACTATATAGTAAGTGTACTTGACTATGAATTACAAATCCCCTCAAGGAACTTACAGTCTAGTGTGGTAGACAGACATTTAAAGTAATAATTAATTATTATTAACAAAAAGCAAAAGTGTTAAACTTGGAGGATATAAAAAGTGCTATAAGCTGGGCGCGGTGGCTCACGCCTGTAATCCTAGCACTCTGGGAGGCCGAGGCGGCGATTGCTCAAGGTCAGGAGTTCAAAACCAGCCTGAGCGAGACCCGTCTCTACCATAAAATAGAAAGAAATTATTGCCAATCTAATATATATAAATAAAAATCAGCCGGCATGGTGGCTCGTGCCTGTAGTCCCAGCTACTCGGGAGGTGTGAGTCAGGAGGATCGCTTGAGTAGGAGTTTGAGGTTTGCTGTGAGCTAGGCTGACACCACGGCACTCACTCTAGCCTAGCAAGAAAGCGAGACTCTTCTCAAAAAAAAAAAATAAGTGTCTAATATGTGTACTTGAAAAGACATGTACAGAAATGTTCATAAAAGCACTATTTGCTAACAAGCCCAAACCTGGAAATAGTAACCCAGTAACCACCACTAGTAGGATAGATAAATATTGACTACTGAAAAGCAATGAGAACAAAAGAATTCCAACCATTCAACATCTATGAATCTCATAGATATAATGTTGAAAAAAAGAACCCAGATTCAAAAGAAATACTATATGATTCCATTTATATAAAGTTCAAAAGAGGCAAAACCAACATACTGTGTTTGAACTGAGGCGGGAAGTGTAGTGTCTGCAAATGGGATAAGGGAACTTCTGGGGTTCTGGTAATGCCCTATTTCTTGAATTAGATGCCTGTTACATGACTGTGTATACCTTGTGAAATTCTATTGAACTATATAAGATTTGTTTACATTTCTTTGTGTATGTTATACTTCAATTAAAATTTACATTAAATTTTTTTTCAAAAAAGTGCCATGGGTACAAGAAAGAGTGATTAAATATACTTGACACAGATGGGGAAAATATCACAGATGAAGCAACATTTGAACAGATTCTTCCAGGATGGTATTTACAAGCAAAGAGGATGAGACAAGAGTCATTCTAGGGAGAGGTATGAAAGCTAAAAGATCACACCACATGTGATAAACAGAACGTTCATTCATGTGATGGGCCCATAGATACAAGAGAAGGTAGGACAAGGAATGGGATGAAAAGCTGGTTGAAGCAGACTTCAAGGTCACATATGCCATGGAAAGGAGTTAGGATGTTGTTTATAATCCATAAAAACTATATATTTTTGCATCAGGTAGAATTTGATCAGGAAAACAGAACCAATATGATTAATATGGTATCAGAGGTCTATTACAGGGATTAGACTTTATATAATTGTGGGAGCTGATGAAGAGACTTCTTGGCTCTGTGTCTGTGGGTGGACCTCCAGTTGCTATAGGCCAGCAGATCTACTAGTCAGGAATTGGTCTAAAGCTGGAAAGAGTGAGGACAAACTGAACCCTCTAAGGGATTCAGGGCTATAGTTTCCTATTTGAATATTGAAATACAAAAATCAACTCCATATAGATTAAAGATTTATACATAAAAAGCAAAACTACAAACTTTTAAAGGGTATATAGTCTTAGCCAACACACTA